CCATGTAGGTTTCAAAATAAAAACAAGGATATAGATATAGGGTTATTGTGATAACATCTGGGAGGGAAAGACATAAAATTGTTGGTGTTTGAAATATGAGAAAAAGTTAACAGATAAGATTTACAGGCATTTATATGCACACAAACTAGATTTAAACAGATCTATTTCTCACTCAGTACATTTCACTTCATGAGAACAAGTGGAAAGAGCTGAAATCTCAGAACTGTGATACATCATGGGTGCACTTTTTAAAATAGTAATTTTATTAAAAATTACAATAAAAATATAAAAATTAATAAACTAAAAATAGAATGTGGAAAGAAGAAAAACAGACAAGGAAAAAATAAAAATATAAAGAGTGTGTGTTTGTGTGTGCATAAATGACTTTCTCCTTCATCAAAGTATAAACAATTTTAGTAACTTCTCTTACAATGCAACTAATGATCTTTTTTCCCATATCCCAACTATTATCTACAAGTAGTCCTCAACTTACGACCACAGTTGGGACCAGGATTTACATTGTTAAGCAGTGAATTACATTATTTTTTGCCACAGTGGTTAAGCAAGTCACTGTGTTTGTTAAGTGAGCTAGGCAGTCATTAAGTGAATTTGGCTTCACACATTGACTTTGCTTGACGGAAGACAGCTGGGAAAGTCACAAATGGTGACTTTGGGAGGCTACAACCATCCAAAATACATGCCAGTTGCAAAGCTCCTGACTTTTGATCATGTGATTGTGGAGATGTTGTGATGGTGATAAGGGCGAGCAGAGTTTGTAAGTCACTTTTTTCAGTGCTGTTGTAACTTTGATCACTAAACAAAAGATTGCAAGTCAAGGACTACCTGTGTAAAGAAATCCTCAAAGCCTCATTGTTCAGCCCTAATCATCAAAAGTCTTTCAAGGGTTACCAGAGATAACAACATATCTACTTTTAACCTTAAAAAAAATAAACCAACTTTACATTCCTTCCTTTTACTTTTAAACAATCTTGATTTTTAGTCTCTTCAAATAATGTCCTGTTGATTTCTATTTTTCTTAATCTCTTCCCATACAACTCCTAAAGGCTTTGACAAGTCTCATTTGTAAATCCAATATAGGAAAGTTATCCAGGTCATTCTGTTGGTTTGTTATTTGTACATCACTTTTAAAACATCAGCCAGTTTCCTTTGTATGTCCAGTGTAGCATCTTTTCCCATTCTTGTAGCCTATCACTTTTAAATCCCCTTTCAGATCAGTTTCAGTCTTATCCAGTAAAACTTCAATGGGTTGGACAAATAATTAAACAGCAAAAGTTTATAGTACAAACTATAATATCAGAAATGAGATTAATTTAAAAATTACTTTGCTGTAAAAACAGAGCGTTTATTACAAGTTTCAGAAAGATAAAAGTGACATTATTTTGATTCAAAAAGACAAGGTAGTGCCAAGCCTGATTCTGGATAATTCCAGCATAGGGAAGTCTGTTGCAGAGCAATGTTTTGATCAACAGCTAAACTGTAAAAAGATCTATGAAGGATACTGTAGATCACTGAAGGCTATGCTACTACAGTGTTTCCCCAAAAATAAGACCCAGTCTTATATATATATATTGCCTCCAAAAGAGGCATTAGGTCTTATTTTGGGGGAGGATGTCTTATTTTTTCCACTGTCTCGCCTCACAGTGGCGGCACCAACAGCCCCATCCGTCAGGAGTCCACCTGGCCGCCACCAGCCCACTTCTGTGGCCGCTCAATGCCACTCACACATATCACCCCCAGCCTCTGTTTCACCACCAAAGGCCTTCAGGAAAAGTCAAGAACGGAGCCCCAGGTTGATGCATGCGTTGCCCCCAGCTTCCGTTTCACTGGCAGAGGCCTTCAGGAAAGAACCGAGCCTCAGGTTGACGTGCGGGGCTCCATTCTTGGCTGCAGAGGCCTTTTCTGAAGGCCTCTGCCAGCAAAACAGAGGCTGGGGGCGACGCATGCGAGTGACGGCAATCAGCCACAGAAGAAGTGGGCTCCACCGGCCAAACGGGCTCCTGCTGGACAGGGCTGTTGGTGCCACCACGGCGAGGCGAGGCAGTTGTCAGGGTGTGGGAGGCTTGGCTGCAGGGGCCCTGAGGTAAGCAGGTGCGGGGCATGTGGGGCAACTCCATCCCCTCCCACACCTGCCTCGCCTCATGGCGGCAGCACCACAAACAACCAGACAGAATGGACGGGCGGCTAGCCACGCAGGCTCTTAACGGGCTTATTTGGGGGATAGGGCTTATATTAGGCGCACGTGTAAAAATCAACGCAGGGCTCATTTTCGGGATAGGTCTTATTTTTGGGGAAACATGATAGCACCCTTCTTCCCTCTCTTCACCTTATATCTGCTGGAGGCCCTCTAGGCCAGTGTTTCTCAACCTTAACAATTT